AGTCAAAACCGATCATTATCGAGCTCTTCCCTGGATGTCGAATCTCTATAGCAGTACTGGGGTCTACAACGCCAAAGAAAGATCTCATATTGGGATGGGATGCTTATTACGCTTTCAAGAAGGCCTATAATATCTCCATCGAACCAAATGGATTAAAATGGAATTCCCTCTTCAAAGCCTTCACATCAACCCCTCGACTGTTTTCAATCGAAGAACCGGCGTCACAAGAATTCACGAAAATCAAAGAAGAAATGACAACAAAATCGTGTGCTGACTCTCACACAGATTTCCTACAAAAATGTCATAACCCGCTTTGGTTAAATTCAGAGTTCTTCGTTACGTTACCATTCAAAGAAAACGTTGACACAACACCAACAAAGGCAAGCCATGCAGGAATGCCACCCACCTTGCTAAAACAAGCTAATGAAGAATGTGATCAGCTAGTGGAACAGGGAGTCGTTTCATCAACAAACTCTCCATGGGCGTGTAAAGCATTCTATGTCAACAACTGTGCAGAACAAGCAAGAGGAAAACTCAGATTAGTCATTGATTACAAGCCGCTAAATCAATATCTACAAGACGTCAAATTTCCACTGCCAAATAAAAAAGCGCTTCTTCAACACCTTCAAGGAGCAACAATTTTCTCGAAATTCGACCTCAAATCCGGATTTTGGCAACTTGGAGTTCACCCCGAAGAAAGATATAAAACTGCATTTTGTCTACCAGACAGACACCTTCAATGGAATGTCCTACCTTTTGGGCTCAAGACAGCACCTTCACTGTTCCAGCAGGCAATGCTTCGTATATTCAAGCCCATCCTCCACACGGCCTTGATATATATAGATGATATACTTCTATTCTCGTCAAACGAAAAGGAACACGTCCAGCTTCTTCAACAGTTCCAGAGCATAGTACTACAATATGGGATTATGCTCTCGGCCCGAAAGATGGTCATAGCCCAGCCCAACATTGAATTTCTTGGGATGCAAATCGAAAATGGAATTTTCTCACCTCAAGCCCATCTAGCTACAACACTCCTCGATTTTCCCGACGAAAATCTCACAAAGCGACAAATCCAGCAATTTCTTGGCGTAATCAATTACGTCAGCGACTTTATTCCGCAACTTTCGCAGTTGACAAGGCCGCTACAGAAGATGCTGACAAAGAATCCACCACAATGGACTAATCGACAAACCGAAGCTGTCAGAAACCTAAAAATAGAGGTACAGAAGCTACCACCTTTAAAGATTCCCTCAACAGGCACGCGTATCTTACAGACTGACGCAAGTGACAAATATTGGGGAGCAATTTTATTTGAAGAAATAAATGGAAAACGTCAAATCTGCGGATACAAGAGTGGACGCTTTAAAGATTCTGAGATGCATTATCACTCCACGTTCAAAGAAATCTTAGCAGTCAAGAAAGCCATTGAGAAGTTCGAGTTCCATCTGATAGGACATAAATTTCGCATCGAGATGGATATGTCATCTTTTCCGAAGATGTTACAATTCAAGCAAAAGATGGTCCCACATCAACAATTATTAC